GGGTCCTACAATTGTGGCGTGTCCATGACCATGAGCAAGAAGAGGAGCAGCAATTATACCATGGGCTTCATGATCGCCGTACCATTGACTTTCTAAAAGTCCTTCGCCGCGCCATTGACCGTCATCATGACCGTGGTGTCCCAAGAGGATACCAGCATTGGCAAATGTTGCCAAGCAAATTAAAGATACGACAATCTATAATACAATTATGTTATTTTTAATATATCTAAATGTTCAAATTTTTTCTTTTTAATACATGATATAATAGAACTATTTTAATAATTTAACGAGAAAATGTTTGTTTTAGTTTCAATCTTTCGTTGCACATTACATGAACTAAATAGAAATAGATAGTATTTAATGCAGGTACTTACCATGAATTTCATTTTGTTGGTACTATAGGTGGTTAATCAATTATCTGATGTCTGTTGTCATTCGACTGTGATTTTTATATTTAATGTTGACCTTCGACCGAGACGAGATTACCACTTGCAATAGAGGGGTAAGAAATTAGTTTTGAATTTGAAAGGTTAAACCTGTTCGACTTACCTACGCATCCAAGATTTAATATTGACTTATTAATGCATTTAATTACATCTATTACGACAACTTGTTTACGGGTTTATAGAAAAAAGAACGCTAGAAAAAACTCAGCTTAAAAGACATTCACATATACATTAATTATTTAGTTATCTGTTGTAATTCGACTGTGATTTTTATATTTAAATTTGACCTTCGACCGAGACGAGATTACCACTTGCAATAGAGGGGTAAGAAATTAGTTTTGAATTTGAAAGGTTAAACCTGTTCGAGTTACCTACGCATCCAAGATTTAATATTGACTTATTAATGCATTTAATTACATCTATTACGACAACTTGTTTACGGGTTTATAGGAAAAAGAACGCTGGAAAAAACTCAGTTTAAAAGACATTCACATATACATTAATTATTTAGTTATCAGTTATACGTAGGTATGTATAACTTGTACACATTCACATAGTCTCTTTTTAAAAATCGAGTGAAGTTAAATATATGTATAATAGCCCAATCAAAAGATAAACAAAATGACCATTCAAATAAAAATTTCATTTCGCTTAGTCCTGCATGATTTAGCCGAGAAGGTTTTAGAAAATCATTTTCTATACATTTCAATAGTGTATCTTTTTCCTTATATTTATAAAGAAAGCTATCAAAATATGTAGTAATTGTTTTAGTACGTTTTGATGGGAAATTTTCCGTGAGAATATTGCAGCTACCTTCATTGCATTAGTTTAGTTAAAAGGTATGCTCTAATGCACTAATAATATTACGAATAAGGGGCAATTTTAGCCAAATATTGTAATTGCTGATATATGCTACTGTTTGAATTTACTACATGATTTATTTTGCGTGACAGGGACGCAAATCAAATTAATAATATTGAAATAAAACACTAGAAAGTTTTAACAATAAAAGTATAATAAAACAAATCGACAATTGTTTCGACCTACTCAGTCATTTTCAAGAGTATTTTAAATATTTCTGTACTTATCGAGATAGGTGGAAGCAGTTGTTTTATTATATTTCTATTGTTGAAACATTCTTGTGTTTTATTGTAATGTTAAACATGTTTCTTCTTAATTACACCTAAGATAACCTTAACAAATTAAGAACACTCCAAGATTCTTTGTTAGGTACCTTTACAATACCTAAAGTTGATGGAATTATCATATCACACATTTTTTTGGATTTATTGTACTAAGTAGCCAAATCTCGAGCCTTGAATGTTTCTAAAAATTGTATCAACTACTAGAGTATGTGTAATAACCAAAGTCATTAATGGCATTATGTTCTTTCATTCAATGACCAATATTTGTACTTAATTAGTACAAGTGACGTTTAAGATCGCCTTCTAATTGCATAATGACAATTAAAAACATTAGCATTCACTGAAGCTACTATAGTAGTACGTAGTTTACCTATCTATTGCCGGAAGTCAAATCGCGTTTCCTGTTTAGATTGCATACATAGAAACATGCATCGCAGTTTTTCATTGGTGGTTAACTAGCCGTAGTCAAAATGCACAGGTAAAGTCCTTCAGAAGTACAGATAAACCATTTGGTTTTTTTTTTCTTTTCAATTAATGGCTTACTTGACGCGATTATTGGGCTTTTGTGAATTCAATTGTTGGTATTCGATCCGTGTAAGGCCCCGTCGAAATAGATTGTGAAAATCATATTTGTATGTATTTTTCTCCTAAAATAGAAATCTGCAATAAAAAATTGGTATTTTCTTAAAATTAAAAAAGCTGTTGACGTCCCAGGGCCGTATCAAGGACTAGAAAAAATGCAACTAACTATTTTTTTCAACTATAGGTACCTGTCAATTTCTTAGTGATATCACTTATAATAGTATTCATCGTAATTTGAAAATCAATTAACAATATGTTATCAAAGCACATTTCAGTTAGTAATATATCGTTTGGAAATACACTGATTCACATTTCACTGAAATACCGTAGAAGGAATTTAATTGTGGATACAATAAATTATTTTAGGTAGGTATGTTTAGTAAACAATAACGCAATCAGATCACAAGCTTGTATACATACAAACGTAATAATCTAAAAAATAAATGCAAATTAATTCCAAAAAATTTAATTTTGATTCTACAAAGCCTTGCCAGAGGTTAATATGGTTACATATGTAGTCACGCAACAATGTTTCACATGGTTTGATTACCTCCAATTTATTGTAGATTTTAAAAACAAAATCTGTTATTTAAGGTAAAAGCCTAAGTTATATAGGTAGTTTAAAAAAGTTCACGTTTCTATTTCATACGATACACTTTGGTCAATACTTGTATCTTGACATGCTCCCTTGCTTGCAATCAAATACTGATGTTACAAAAGCACCAGCAAGGTTTTAAAGTACCCCTTGATAACGTAACAATCGACTTACAAAATTATCTATCTGAATATTTTTCGTAATTTTTATTTATTTAAGCATTCAACTTATAATTGCATATGCGCTGGTATGCTAAATGTTAAAACTTGTGTAATCCAGTAATGCGAATTAAACCAGGAACAAGATTAATAAATAGTTGTTGCTTGCCTTTTGAATAATATCATATGTCCACAAACACAAACCTTGCAGTACAGTGGCTATTTGGTTAGTATTTTAACCATTCTTTAAAAATATTATCCGATAATGAACTCTATACCTACTCTGTAGTACTCCACATTTAGAACACGATAGCATAAATCATGCAATAACCATCGTAAATAACAGTTTATTTAAAAACGAGTAAATAATTTTCTAATGCTTTATTTATCAAAAAGAAAAAAATAACAAATTAAAATAAATACTGTATCCGGCGTGCATTCATTAGATTGTTAAATACAACCGTTATAACTGAAACGTAGTTTCGAGCAGGTATTCTGCATTATAACAGCAGTTTTTCGAACAAGCAAGTATATTCTTTTAACCCCTAATGATCGCAATCGTCATCGGCATGTGAAGTGATGTAGGAAGAGTGGGAAACAGTTGGAGCAAGAAGCAATGTGCTGTGGGCATTGGCTTCATGAGTCCAACTGTGAGACAAAGGTGCTACCAAGTGAGCACTGTGGTGGATCAATCCGTGATGAGACGGTGCAATAAGTGTGGCTCCATGGTGCGCAGATCCAACAAGAGATGCGTGATGGGATGGTCCAACAAGGGTTGCTCCATGATGAGCGGGTCCTACTACTGAAGCGTGGTGAGTTGGGCCAACAAGGGTTGCTCCATGATCAATTGGTCCTACAACAGAAGCATGGTGGGATGGTCCAACAAGTGTTGCTCCATGATGAGCAGGTCCAACAACGGAAGCGTGGTGGGATGGTCCAACCAGGGTTGCTCCATGGAGAGCGGGTCCAACGACTGAAGCGTGGTGTGTTGGTCCAACAAGGGTTGCTCCATGATCAATTGGTCCTACTACAGATGCATGATGAGAGGGTCCAACCAGAGTTGCTCCATGCTCAATTGGTCCAACTACAGAAGCGTGATGGGATGGTCCAACAAGGGTTGCACCATGGTCAACTGGTCCGACTAGGGAGGCGTGGTGAGATGGTCCAACGAGTGTAGCACCGTGGCTCACAGGTCCAGCAAGCACACCATGGCTAGATGGTCCCACAATTGTGTTATGTCCATGACCGTGGGCAAGAAGAGGAGCAGCTATTATACCATGATCTTCATGATCACCGTGATATTGGCTTTCCCAAAGTCCTTCTCCATGCCATTGGCCGTCATCATGACCATGGTGTCCCAAGAGAACACCAGCATTAGCAAAAGTTGCTAAACAAACTACGGCAATCTACAATATAAGATTAAAAGGCATATAGAATATTGTATCACTAAAGTGAAATCCACTGAACAAAAAGATCTGCTAATACGTACAAATCTTGTGGTTCTTGCTCTTTTGCTGTTTTTAAAGCAATTTTGTTTATTTATACTTATAGCAACTATTTCTCTTCACTAATATTGAAAACTGATTATATCAGGTATTGTTTTAATGAACCTTAAAATTTATAAATATCTTACCAAAAATTTCATTTTGGGAGTTGTTGGTGTCACTAATAAAGATCCACTGATAACTAAGAACGCTTTACTATACTATTTATATGTTTAATGTTGACCTTCCACACGAGTGAAATCATCACCTCCCAGCGATAAAAATTCAGTCTTTATTTTGAAACTTCACTTTCTCCTTATCAAACATACCTAGATATTTGTCGACAAACTAGCTCAGTTTTTAATTCATCAATAAGTATTTTTGAAATACTTCCGCTTTAAAGACATAATTGTTGTCAGTGTAATTTATCATATTAGGGTTTGTAATAGCCTTGTTCGGCGATCTTTGTCGGCGAAAATTAAATCACAGTATGTTTTATTTCTAAAAAAAAATCCTTCCAGAAACTATCTTTGGCAGGATAAAATATCTACGAAACTGTCAATGTGATTTACTACTGCTGTTTAACTATTTTTTTAAACAAATAATAGAGATGAAAAATAACTTCTCTCTTTTCCGAACCCAAACAATTGTATAAACTCTATTTTTCTAAATCTTTGACAACATCCAAAGATTACGAAATCTAGACAAAAAGCAAAAGTTCTTTCCGGCTTTTAACTGAACTTAACTGACGGAAAGTTCTTAAAAAAGTTTTAGTCCTGATAACTCCACTGAAGCACTAAATATTACAAGTGAATTAAAGACACCATCCCCAAAGCCCAAACATAGATCTTCATGAAAATTATATCCAACATTAGTTGTTCTTTAATCTTAAAGTTCTAGTTTAACAGTAACAGTCAAGAAATTGATGTTTTAAAGTAATTGTTCAATTGCATGTAAATGCTTTTACTAAAATTAATAATAAAAAGAACATTAACAAATAAATGGTGCAAATAAGAGGTTAGGGCTGTAGCCAGGCTCAAAAAAAAATCAAATCAAGCTAAAGTCATTATTTTACGTTTATATTTGCATACCGGGCGATGTCTTCGTTAATTTTGTTTGTAGTGGGCATTGCATATGTAAAAATAGGCCCGTTGAAACCGTAACTTCCTATTTACACACATCTCGTAGGATTTTCAGTAACTAAAGCTACTTAAGAATGCAGCAGCGCTAAAACCAACCCGAAATCAGCGTTACATATGTTCGAAGTTGCTACATTAATGTTATCACTATTTATTGGTACAGTAGCATTAGTCTACACACACATAATTCAGAAATTACAGGTAAAAAATCCGAAATCCTCAGTAAGCTCAGTCTAGCGACTAGGGTAGGCACAATATTTCCCCTGGCAGATTTAGGCTGCCCTAGTGAACCTAAAAAAAGTTAAAACAATTCCAAGGGCAGGGGCATAAGTACCGATGGCTATAACCTTTTACCCAAATCCCCTTATCTTGTTATCAAAAGATGACTATGCCCCTTTTGTTCTTATTATGTCTCTCACAATTGAAACATTTCAACGATTTATTTATGTATATGTTATCGGAAATGTATGAAATCCGTCATTGTATATAATTCCTAGGAAATTAATATAATTCCTAAATCGCCCGGAAATGTATAAAATAAATTACATTATACATATTTCCCAGGAAATCTATACATTTCCTAAATAGCAATTGGAAAGATATTACAGGTAATACTAAATAGACAATAATACGCCAGGCTGTTTGGAGATGTACCTATATGTATGCATTGATGACGTCATTGTTTGGTTAGGGACATTTATGACAGACTGTAGTTTCTTTAATGCCCCGGGACGAGCTGATATGTTAGATGTTAGAAAAATGTCAGTAGCTTATCTTTGTTTCAGCAAACATGATGACCTTAAATTTTTAGTATGTCATAGAGGTGATAATGCTGATCATTTTCATATGTATATGTTGGGCGTTGAGATCATAATGAAGCATACTTTTCGAAGACATTATTCCAACATATCAGTTCGCTTCCGGCGGGCAGGGACATTAAACAACCTCCAGTCTGTCATAAATCTATCTAATCACCACACAATAATGTCACTAATGTATATACATCCCCAAACCTAACCCAACCAAACCATAACGTCATCAATGCATATACATCAGACGATCGCACTAGAACCATGTTCAGATAACTCTGATTCTCAGTTTACTAACGTGTTTTATTCATTTTATTCACAGAAAGCATTAGTTTATACATTTCCTAGTAAATATCGGAATTTCACACAATTCCTAGGACACGCATACATTTCCCAGGATATGTGTGTATTAAAAAATCTTTGAAACAATATTTTATACATTTCCTAAATAGGCTCGGAATTGTATANAAGGTATATAGAATATTGTATCACTAAAGTGAAATCCACTGAACAAAAAGATCTGCTAATACGTACAAATCTTGTGGTTCTTGCTCTTTTGCTGTTTTTAAAGCAATTTTGTTTATTTATACTTATAGCAACTATTTCTCTTCACTAATATTGAAAACTGATTATATCAGGTATTGTTTTAATGAACCTTAAAATTTATAAATATCTTACCAAAAATTTCATTTTGGAAGTTGTATGTGTCACTGATGCAGATCCACTAATAACTAAGGACGCTTCACTTTACTATTTATATGTTTACTGTTGACCTTCGACACGAGCGTGATCATCACCTCCCAGCGATAAAAAATTGAGTCTTTATTTTGGAACTTCACTTTCTCCTTATCAAACATGCCTAGGCACTCGCCGACAAACCAACTCAGTTAATTATTATCATTTCCACTATAGCTATCTTAAATACTATAAGATGGTTTGTACAAGCGATAAAATAAAAGAAAACTTAAAAATTTGTACATAAGATTTACCTGAAATTAACTAAACAGTTAGTAATATGACATTTTCTAAATGAAGGACTAGAAAGGGTGGCTCTTTTGTGTTTTAATAGCATTAGACAAGAGAGGAAAAATCGTTCCTGAAACTATCTTTGGCGAGATCAAATATCTATGAAAATGTTTTTTAGCTATTTTTTATACAAATAATAGATGAAAAATAACTTCTCTCTTTTCCGAATACAAAAAATTGAATGATTCTAAAACAAACTCTATTTTTCTGAATGTTTGACTTCACAGTACCTGAAAGGAAAACATTCAACCAAACCATAAAATATGACCCATTATCTGATGGTAATAAATTCATCACACATTTTTTTAGATTTGCTGTAGGAAAAGCCAAATCTAATATGTAAAGTCCTAAGGGCTTTATGTTCTTTTATTCAATAACCAATATTTTTGTACATAATTAGTACAAGTGACGTTTAAGATCGCCTTCTAATTGCATAATGACAATTACAAACATTACCATTTACTGAAGCAACTAAAGTAGTACGTAGTTACCTATCTATTGCCGGAAGTCAAAACGCGTTTCCTGTTTTTAAATTGCATACATAGAAACATGCATCGCAGTTTTTGATTAGTGTTTCTCTTGTCTTAGTCGAAATGCACAAATAAAGTGGTTCAAAATTATAGATAAACTATTTAGTATTTTTTAAGCAAAAAATAAAGATGAAAAATAACTTTTCTCTGTGCCGAACCCAAACAATTGTATGATTCTAAAACAAACTCTATTTTGCGAATGTTTGAAAACATCCAAAGATTGCGAAATATGGGATAAAGCTATTTCCAACTTCTAACTGAACTTAACTGACCGAGAGTTCTTCAAAAAGTTTTACTATTGACAAAAGCTCCACTGATCCACTTAACAATACAAGCGATTAAAAGGGATCATCTCCAAAGCCCACGCATAGATCATCATAAAAATTATACCTAACATCATTTGTTCTTTAATCTGAATATTATTTTAGTTATTAACTATCTTCAGTGAAGTTATTATTATTCGATATTCCTTCATTATATTCATATAGGTAGCTTAGAATAGTTTTCTAATTACATTTATAATTAAAAAATGTAGGTAGAGCACTTAGACCGAAAATGTAAAAGAAAAAATGCCACTAATATTATCCAGCTGTTTTTGATTGCTCAATAATATAATTTACAGAAAATAATGGATATTGATCGTAATGTGAAAGTAAATTAACAATAAGTTATCAAAACACATTTCCGTTAGTCACGTATTATTGAGGAACACTTTGATTCATCTTTCACTGAAGGGCCGTGAAATGGAATTCAATCGTAATTTTTATTAAGCATAGGCACCTTAATA